TCTGGATTCCGGGTGCTGGATTCCAGTCTTTTCCAGTGGAACTTGGATTCTAGATTTCATTCCTTAGTGGGGTACTTCAGCTCTTTTCTGGATTCCAAAGCCTTGCATTCCGGATTCCATATCAAAATTTTCCCGGATTCCGGATCCTACAAGCGAAAATTCTCCAGATTCCGGAATCCGAATACCCTCACATGGGGCGAAGTACTAGTCAAACATTTTCTGACCTGTTCACGCATATTTAACTAAGCAGTGGGAAATTTACTTTTCTTCAAACGTTCGATTTTATAATATAATGGATCGCAGTAACTTCTGGTCAATGCAGCTTTTTCAGACGGGACCACATTTCAAGCTAGAAGAGGTTTGGTACTGAAAAGGTATTTTTCCGCCTTGACATAACAGACTTAACATGGGGCAGTGGGAAATTAAATGAAGCTTGGAAAGGTATCTTTTACTTGCTGAACTAATTTTTGAACAATATATATCATCGGCAAAGGGAACAAGGGAATTTTAATATAGTTTTGGTGGGAAAGTGAGGCATATCTTTCTTAAAAGTGGCAAGTGTTTGAATAACTGAGGATTTTGCTGTGACAGCAGCCTGTATCGTCACGCAATGCAAATTGAACATTTGCCTAAATTTGAGTGGAAACCTTCAATTCTGAATCGCGTTGTGCCACAAGTTTTATTGCATAACTTGACAAAATAGCTATTAATCTTTAACTAAAACATGTTTTTAAGTCTAGTTTAGGTGCCTCTTTTGAGAATTTTCTGATGATTTTGAGGCATTTTTTCGTGCAGTTTGCTTTCTTAATTGGACTATCGAAATAAACACGACCAGTTTTTGCTGATTACAGAAAAATAATGCCTAAATGGTATTGGATCAGTAAGAAGAAGTAATATGCTTCCAAATGAGCGCGAATAGTCTAGGATTTGATGACCCGAAGAATTTTAGAGCGATCGTTAAAAAACCTGTATAACAGAGACTAAAATTTACATATTTTAGCCGCTAACGGCCGTCCAGCAATGAACTGCTGGGAATGGCAGTAAATTAAACAATTTCCTCATTCTAACTGCAATTTCGTTATTAGGATGGATAGTAGTGTTGATGGTAAAATTATAAGGCAAAATTTTTTTCGAGCCCAAAATCGAGTGGAACGCTTTTAGGGATACTGCCTTTTAAATCTTTATCTGACTGAAGCCAGACGTAAAGCTCCCAATAAACCCATTAATACTCTTTCAGGCTTGGTCCTCGCCGGGGAACGTTTAAGAAATTTATGAACTTTCGATCTCGCGGGTACCGACTGAACACTATGACCGTACGATTCTCTCCCTGCTAGGAAGGTGTCTTTTCATCGGTCGGGGAAAACACAACATTGTTTACCATTATTTCCATTGTTTTAGGTTAGGGTAGCAAACCATTTGGCTTTTAGCGTTAGAAGAGCTGCTACATGATCTCTCTCCTCAAAATGAAGAAAAACAATATGGCCGTCACATGCATGCTTTTAGCTTTGAATGTTCTCCTTTATTTAACAAACGTTGACCATTTATTTCGGCAATCAAACAGTTAAGTTGAAAAAGGATTTTACAAAAGTCTCAAAAGAAGGCCTTCTTTTCGATTTGAATTTGCAATATCGGTCGATTTACGCAACTTTTAAACCTCTGGCTCAGTTTTCGTTTGCTTCTGCTTGCTTTGAAAATGAAATAATAATTACTAGGGGTAATACAGTGTAAAGATTTGCAGAGAAAAAACAACAAAAACTTGCAGACTTATGGCGATACAATTTTAAAAACAAACTAAAATATTCAAAACGCTCTAATCACAGGACTGATGACGTCATGTCCCTCTTTCGGTAATGAAAAAAATTGTCAGGTAGAACATTGCTTTCCTGCAAATTTTCTCTGCCGTGTGATGAAACGTCAACTCTCTACAGCCCTCGGCCTCGTTTCCCCACTTTTTCGCCCATGTTCATTCCCCCCTTAAAGCTCCACACCACCAAAACCTCAAATGTGCTATTTTATTTTAACACAATGATGAAATCTTGTCACAGCAACCAAAAACCCTAATTCAGCAATGGTCACGTGACTGGTGACGTCATCATCACCCTAGATGTGACATGAGAAGATATTTTATGGCAAATGTTATTCTTTTGTGGTCTGACATTCTTCTACGTATAAAATTGTCAAAGTTATAACAAGGCTTTCAAAAAAAATTCCTCAGAGGATTCTGGGATAATTTTTATAATAATTATAATTTACTTTTATAATTATAAAAATAATAATGATAATAATAATTATTATTATTGTTATTGTTATTAATAATGATAAATCTTTATTTAAGTATCAGAACAATAAGTAATATTTCACAATTTTAAATTATATCGTATTGTTTGCAAATTAAAAACTAGATATATGACAACAATGGTAACTATTAAAATCCAATTTACAATTAATTCGCTTGAAAAAAAGAAAAGAAAAAAAAGTATTCATTCAAAAACACTATTTACAATTCCTGTCGATTTAAAAAGCACTCAATTGAGCTTAGAAAGAAGTTAATTTAACTAAGAAAAATTTATTCCAATTAAAAACATTTCATTTCAATTAAAAAAAAAAAAAAAAAAA